TGATTACCAGGGATTCGATAGCTAAGCTGCCTGAAGGACCACCTTCTGAGGGTGCCCCCCGTGCCATTCGCACTGACTATGCGAAATGCTTTACCTATCCTCCCACTGCTCCTCCCCCAAGCTCAGAAACTTTAAAGAAACTCATCGAACAATTTGAGCATTGGATGCAAATGACTGTCGATGTTGTCAGTCTCGGAGAGGTAAGCTTTAAAGTTTTTGAGCCCCATCTGCTGGAATGCCTAAATCAAATTGCACAACAAGGGAGTGCATGGTGGCACGATCATTGCAGTGAAAGTATGGTAATTCTGGAATATGAATTACAATTCCTTTCTATGCTACGCCACGATGATTCGGGGCCCGAGGTGGATCAGACTCTTTCTCGGATCAAGATTTCGAGAGACCGACACCAAGAAGCTCTTCAGAAGAGCTTGTCCGAGAAAGAAGCTCGTCTCGTCAATCTCCGGGAGAGACACAACAATACCCAAACAGACATGAGCTGCATTGCTATGGGTATTCGTGACACCGAGATGGCCATAGCTCGTATGGAAATTGAATTAACTCATAAAAGAGCTCAGCTGGTTGAGGATGGGGAGGTCTGCAAGGAATTATTGGCTCAGGGTGAGTAGATTTTCAAGGAATATTGTGACGAGCTCATTGCTGTTGACGACATTCGAAGGAAGATTGCAGAACCAGTACCCAGTGAAGACGAGCTTAGGGAAAAAGCAACCAAGGAAGTCCAAAGGACTCGCGAAGAGGACTTCGCTACACTAAAAGCCAAGCTCAAATCTTGGAGACTGATGAAACCAGCTGTTTGAGTTTAGAGTGTCTTTGGGAATAATTTTGTATCGTTTTCATTCAAATTTTCATTGTTTTGTATTAGAGCAATATTGGAATGATAATGATATCGTTTTGCCTTTCATTATCTCTCTTGTTGAATTCTGATTTGTGAATGCCATAGGTATAGAGTTAACTTAACATAAAATCGATACTTTTCTTTATTATCACTTAGAATAATTCAGCAAAATTTTAATCGTCAGAGGTGTAGTGTTAACATGATGACATACAAAACAAGGCAACTAAACATTGATTCCTGAACTACATTCTAAGTTGACAACCCCCAGTCTGACTTGACTGGCATTTGGGGGAAAGATAAGGGAGCTTCATGACTTACGGGAAATATCTTTTAAGGAATTTTCCATTAATTGGCATCATGAGCCTGTCTCCTTTTTGATTGATGAGGCGATATGCTCCGTTCGAATAGACTGATTCTACTACGAAGGGCCCCTCCCATTTATGATTGAACTTCCCTTTGGTTTTGTGTGTCATCACCATGGGTCGTCTGTTGGCCAAAACTAAATCGCCTTTCTTGAAAATCCGTTCTTTAACCCTTTTGTTGTAGGCTCTAGAAATGCGGGCTTGATACAACTCGATCTGTTACTGGGCTTGAAGTCGTTTGTCGTCTAAGGCTTCAAGTTCTTGCAGACGTTGTTGATGTTTTTCTTCTTCTGTCAGCCCAGTTGTGATAGCAACTCTCAGAGAAGGGATTTGGATTTCCAATGGCAGTACAGCTTCGCAGCCGTACACCAAAGAGAATGGTGTAGATCTTGTAGAGGTCATTACTGTCGTGCGGTAAGCCCACAAACATTCACCAAGTCTCTCATCCTAATCACGCCGGCTCTTGGAAACAAACTTTTTGAGAAGCTTCACTATGGTTTTGTTAAAAGCTTCTGCAAGACCATTTGCTGGCGGATAGTATGCCGTAGAAGCAATGCTTTGAATTCTAAATTTATCACAAAATCTCTGAAATCCAAAGCTAACAAATTGCATCCCATTGTCGTGGACTATTCGTCTTGGGACCCCAAAACAGTAGACGACGTGATGTTTGATGAATTTGATCACATTCGAAGTCTTGACCTCTTTTAATGGGACGGCTTCTGCCCATTTGGAGAAGTAATCGGTTACTGCTAAAATAAACCGATGTCCTTTGGAAGTTGGTGGTGAAATGGGCCCGACAATATCCATTCCCCATACCTCAAATGGCCATGATGCTGATGTTGGGTGTAAATTTCCTGGCGCTTGATGGATGAAGTCACCATGGATTTGACATTCATGACAACGTTTCGCGTAGTCAGCTGCCTCAGAAAACATTTTTGGCTAATAATAACCAATTCGTCGGAGGCGATCTCCCAGTTTGGTCCCGGGTTGATGAGCTCCGCATATTCCGTCGTGAGCCTCCTTAATAGCCTCTTTTGCTTCCTTTCTAGAAAGACATTGAAGCAAAACTCCATCGTGTGACTTACGATACAGGGTTTGAGAAACTGCATCATAATAGAATCGGAGGGCCTTTCGTTTGATTGCGGCCGCTTCCTTAGAATCGTCGGGCAAATTTCCATACACGACATAATCAATGTACGGGAATCTCCAATCTCTAGGTTCAAACTCTATTGTGGTGGCACAAGCTTCTTCTGACGTGGCTTCGTCCGAACGATCTCCTGTAGGAAGTTTAGAGTAATACAACTCGCGTCCCGTGACCGGAATTATTGTTTCGGCCCCTGGTGGCAATGCTAATGAAGTTGCCAGTGAAGCCAAAGCATCTGCATAGGTGTTTTGAGCCCGAGGGATATATCCGATAAAGAAGCCTTCGAATTTCCGAGCTTGCTCTAGGACAGCCGAGTAGTACGGGATTAAATCCTCATTTCGTACCTCGTATTCCCCTCGGACTTGGTTTACGATCAGTTGGGAATCACCATACGCCTCGAGATAGCGGATGTTGAGCTCTTCAGCGAATTGCATTCCCATTAGCAAGGCATTGTACTCGGCCACGTTGTTGGTACAAGGCTCGATTAAGGAGAATCCCCTAGGGATCACGTGACCTTTTGGGGAGACAATTATTAACCCTACTCTAGCGGTAATCGGTCCGTGAGGATTGGCTCTAGATGCGCCATCGAAGAATAATTTCCACACGTGTATGCTTTCTTGGGTAACACATGCTTCAGCGACTTCATCGGGTAGGTCTTCGTATAACTTAGACGTTCCTGACACTGGGTGATCGGCTAAGAAGTCTGCCAGTGCTTGACCCTTGACTGCCTTTTGAGGCATGAACTGCATATCATATTGTGACAAAAGAATGGCCCACTTTGCGAGCCGGCAATTTAGAGATGATGGTTTTGTCATCAGAACTCTCAAGGGATTCACCTTAGAGATGACATGAATTGTCTGTCCCACCAGGTAATGTCGCATCTTTTGAATTGCGAATACCAAGGCGAGACATTCTTTTTCGACCGGATTATACCGGTGTTCTGCTCCCATCATGGTCCTGCTCAGGTAATAGATGGCTTGCTCTTGACCCTGATCGTTGTTCTGGGCCAACAAAGCTCCCAGAGAATAGTCCATGACTCTCACATACAACATGAATGGTTTTCCTGTTATTGGGGCCACGAGAACTGGTGGTTGAGTGAGATATCTCTTGATCTCCTCGAATGCTTTTTGACATTCTCTATCCCAAACAAAGGATATTCCCTTCTTCATGAGCTTGGAGAAAGGTTGACACCGCCCTGAAAGATTTGATATGAATCTTCGAATGTAGGCTAGTCTGCCTTGCAAACCTCTGAGCTCTTTGAGATTCTTCGGAGGCGGCATGTCTTGGATGGCGCGCACTTTCTCCGGATCAAGAGAGATTCCCTTAGAAGTAACGATAAATCCCAGGAATTTTCCGCTTGAAACCCCGAGGAATGATTTTGTCGGGTTCATCTTCAGCCGATGTGCTCGCATGATATCGAACATTGTCTTCAGATCTGTAAGATGATCATCTTTACACTGACTCTTTACTGCAATATCATCAACGTAGCACTCGATCTTTTTACGTAGGTGTTCATGAAAAATGGTGTTCATTGCACGTTGATAAGTTGCACCTGCATTTTTCAGTCCGAAGGGCATCACTGTGTAGCAATACACCCCAGTGGTGTTCTAAAAGCAGTATGTTTTTCGTCGTCCGGGTGCATCTTGATCTGATTGTATCCGGAGAATCCGTCCATGAAAGACATCCTTTCATATCCGCAGGTGTTGTCAATCATAACATCCGTGATGGGAAGTGGGAATTCGTCTTTCGGACAAGCTGCGATAAGGTCACGAAAGTCGATGCATATACGGAACTTACCGTTTTTCTTGGGCACTGGGACGATGTTGGCCACCCAGTCTGGATGTTGCTCTTCCCTAACAAAACCTGAGTCTATAAGCTTTTTAACTTCTGACTCAATTGATTCCATGATCTCTGGACGAAACCTGCGTTGTTGTTGTTTAACGGGTTTTGCATCCGGATCGATATTGAGACGGTGCATGGCAATCTTCGGGTCAAGGCCAGGCATATCCTCATAATTCCAAGCGAAGACATCTATATATTCTCGGATGAGGGATATAAGGTCCTCTTTTTCAGATGGTGATAGGTTTTCAGCTATGAAGATGGGTTTAGGTCATGTTCATCTCCCATGTTGACCTGTACTACTTTGTCTTCAGTGGGTGGTTCGCGTTGTTCGAATCGCATATCCCACAAGATGTTAAGACGTTTGATCCAAGGATCGTTGGTTGATTCGATCAACTCTTCGTCACCCCCTGCATCTTCATCTGGATGACTAGTTGAAACCATGTTTACGGTCAACCGTTTAAAGAAAGGTCCAACACTGACATCAGGTTCGCGTTGAAAGTACCCTAATGCCACTAGGAAGGAACCCTAGAGGGGGGGGGGGGGGGGTAGGGTTTATGCTAATCTAATCCGATTTATGCCAAATTAAAAACTATACTAACAAATATATCCTAGCACAAGAGATATGAATAATATATATGCAAGGATATAAAACTAACACAATGTGATATATCCTACCAAAGAGATATACAATATGATATATGCAAGGATATAGAACTAACACAAGGGTAAACAAATATGAATGAGATAGTGAATGATAAAGATAATGAGCTATGCACAAGGCGATCTAAGATATGAACATAAATATGAATGAACGCCAAAGCACACTCAAACAAGCAATATGATCACGGAGTTCGGACCTTCCGTCCTACGTCTCCGTTCCCCACTCCCGGGGAGAAATCCACTAACACAATCCGGTTTGGAAGCCAGAACTTCTTCTACACACTCGGTTTTCTAGCTTACCGAAAACTCTCACAACAACTCACAATATAACAACACTAACTACCACCTCAAGTGTTGGTCTCTAGCCCGTGTCTCCCTTAAGTGTTAGGAATTACAACCTTCCACAAGGCATTACTACCTACCCCACTCCTCTTGGGACGACCCCGTCTCTCACCACACACTCCTCTTGGTGTACTAGTGTAATACAAAATGAATCCTCACAATTAGGCTTAATACAACAATCGGTTTTCTAGTTCACCAAAAAATTTACAACTTACACACTTGTAATTACACTTCACACCCTCTAAGTGCTAGCCTAGCCTGCCTCAATGTCACAATCCCACAACCCAAATTATACTATGAATGTAAATACAATAAGCTCAATGGTTGTGTGTGAACAAAGAGATTCAATAAATCAACTAAACTCAATATAAACACTAGCTTAATGAAATGATAATCAAACAATAAAATGTAAAGCTAGATTGAGTTTAGAAAACTTCTCCAATAAATGACAAGAGTGAGAGAGAGAGATGATTTGAAGCCCAAACACCAAAGATTATCTCCTCAAGCCCTTGTGAAATTATCTTCACAAACAAACTCTTAAACAAGGCTTAAACACCTTTAAACAAACTATAAACCCTTGTTAAACTTTCTTAAAACATTCACTTCATTTGAGGGAGAGGTAAATGCAATGGGGTATTTATAACAACCCAAGACATCAGCCAAAACCCTAAGGAAATGACCAAAAACCCACAAAAACAGATTCTGGAAAAATAGCCGTTACTGTTCAACGGTCATATACATGAGTCGACTTGCAGTCGACTTGGGCATGAGTCGACTGATGAAAAACATGAGTCGACTTGCCAGATCAAAACAACATACAAAAAACAGCTTATGAGTCGACTTGAGAAAAGGCATAAGTCGACTTATGTATGAGTCGACTTGCTATGAATAATGAGTTGACTCAGCAGAATGAAAATGCACTTTCTAGAGGAGTTTATGAGTCGACTCGTCAACTCTGATAAGTCGACTCATAAACATGCACAGGCACTGTACATGTCCAAAAATTAATTTTTCAAGTACATTTAAAAATAGCAAATAAATTCCAAAAAATATGTAACTTTGGGAAATGTTTATAAACATGTAAATGAACATGTTACAAAAAGAATTTTTGGAATATCACTTCCCAAAACTAAAATATCATCTTTTTGCAAATATGTCCAAAACATGAAAACATGAGATATTTGAATTTTGATGTTTTGACATAAACCAAGTTTTGAAACTTTGTAAACTGATTTTATAGACTTGATAAAAAGTATAAACTATCGTTGTTAAGTCTATAAACCATACAAACCAAAAATACAATGTTTTTCCAAATGCAATAGAATATGAAACATATAAAAGTATATATGAGGATATATATTATTTCATATCTATATAGCTAAACCAAAACATGAAACAAAATAGTATTTTAACAAAATACACATATAATGCACTAAGACATGATTTCATTGAATTAAATAGACTTGATAATGATGAAATCATATGTAGGCATATAAATATGAAACAAATATGTATTTTCAATTATATTCAATTGTTTCATATTAAAACTTGAAAACTATTAAACCAAACCATATATGTATATATATAACTATATATACAAAAACCAAAAAGTGTATGTGTGTATATAATTGAGCTTGAAGTATTAACACATAATATAAAATCTAAACTAGATTACCCAAGCTTGATCTTGATCTTCATTGTAGCTCAACTTGGTACACATGCGGATGAAGCTTGAACTTGATCTTTAACTTGAATTGTACGTTGCTTCACTCCACAATTCCTCCAACCTCCATTGGATATGATCGTTATGGCACAATCCATCCATCCTCCAACATCATTGTTTGTCTAGAATACCTAATAAGAAACACAAATACTAGACAAACAACATTAGGAATTGTTTGTAATCATCAAAACAAGATTAGAAGATGTAGGCTCATAACATGAGACCTAACAATCTCCCTTTTTTTGATGATGACAAACAATCTACACAAAGAGTATATAAGATATGCAATAAAGCACAATACTCTTAAAATATACTCACAATCCACTTGTTTCTCCCCCTTTGGCAACATCAAAAATGGGGAAACAAAAGAATAAGAGAGCGAAAGCTCCCCCTATCGATAAGCACGGTGAGTATAAAACAAATACAGGGATTGCTCCCCCTATCAAAATGCCATATGGAATATAAGCATTAATGATCATGGCAATAATATGTGAGCAAGCATAGATGAAAAATATGTCAAACACCACCCACATACAAGAAGACAATGAGAACACATATGAATATATCAATATGAAAAATAGTGTCTCATGTCAAGGAACATAAAAACAATGTATAAAGATAGATTTATGAAATCAAAAGAGAAAGAGCATGAGAATCATGCAAAATGTTTTCAAATGAGAACAAATCAATCAAATGACATCATAAATTAAAGGTTTGAGTCCAAAAGCAATGTTTGATCAATAAAGAAAACTTTCTTTGAAAAACTTGATCAAACCATATAAATTATACATTATAAAACACGAATAGATGATCCATAAGCACAAACATATAAATATCATCATATAAGTGAAATATAATGAATTCAAAGCAACA